GGCCTGGCGTGCCCACCCTCGCCCCGGGCCCTTGCGCCCTCGCCGCCCGGCTCGAATGCCCGTGAACACCGGCTGCTTGCAGCTCTCCCAGCGGGCAGGTGTGCCTCCTGCGGGAGCTGTCAGCACGTCTGCTTATGCACGGTCTCCTAGGTCACCTACGCCTTTATTCAGGCCCGTGCACGTCCCCGAGGCGAGGTTTTGTGTCACGATCTAGCGTCTACGTCCGTCAGGATCTAGCGTCTGTGTCCCTCATGATCTAGTATCTGTGTCCCTCACGATCTGCTATCTACGTCCGTCAGGATCTAGCGTCTGTGTCCCTCACGATCTAGTATCTGTGTCCCCATCCCCATCTCTCCAGGAAGGTGAGCTCTGTGAGGACAGCGGATGTCGTCCGCAGCTTTGAACCCCCGAGGGCCCAGCACAGGCAAAGACAAGGCAGGAACTCCAGAAACACCTTGTCCTTCTCCCCCTCCCGACTTTGTGCGCACTCCTCCTGGCGGGGTCTGCCCCATTGCCACCCAGTGGGTTGCGGAAAGGCCCAGAACTACCTGGCCGCCCCCCACCCCCAGGCCCAGCGCCACCGTGCAGGTGCACCTACCTGTACAGCTGCCGCCTCCTTGGCAGGTCCTCCGTGCTCAGGAAGTAGCTGCAGAGACCAGCAGGGGCACAGGAGTCAGCATGTGTCACACCCTGGGCTCCGCAGTGCGGCCACTTCCCAGGGACCCCGCTCAGCGCCTGCTCCGAATGGGCTTCGTGTGCGGGTGGGTGGGCTGGCCTCTGCTGGCCCAGGTGTACGGCACGCAGCTCCTGCCACAGGGCCTGGGAGGGTGGTCGTGAACCCTGGGTTGGATGCGGGAATCTCTCTGCAAGGTGTTGACCTCCTGGAGGTCAAGGGTCCCACTTATTACAGTCTAGATGCGAGGTCTGGGTTGGCCACTGTCACTGCCTGATTTTCACCTGGGGCTCTAAACATGGAGACCGGGTCCTGCCACATATCTGGGCAGGACGTGCGAGGCGGACCCCAGCCTGCCCGTCTCTGGCTGTGAACCGCGTAGCCCCTTTCGTCACACTGCCCGGGGAGTGTCGCGCTGCGTGATGCAGCGGGCATCGGGCTCTGCGAGCAGAGCCGGGCGAGCAGAGGCCTGACCTGCATCAGGACCATGGCCAGCGGGGCCGTGTCCACCAGCGGCTCAGCACTCGGGTCTGGGTGCAAACTGAGCGTTGCCATCAGTGTCCCTTCCGGCCCCAGAGGCTGTGCACACACTCTAGGAAGACCCCGGGCCTCGGTCCAAGGGGGGCGCTGTGCTCGGGCCGGGGCCTCGCTGGGACAGCACGAGGACGGGCCCCGGGCTGGGAGCTGACTGGGTGCAGGGACCACGTCTCACTCACATCTTGTTCCGCTTCTCGTCATAGGACAGGATCCTGGTGACGTCCCAGTCCCCAGAGGTGACGGACTGTATGTTGTCATTGCTGCTGTTGGGCTGGAGCACAGACAGGCCGTGAGCAGCGGCGGGGGTGCCCCAGCTCCGCCTCCTGGTCCCCGAGCCCCTCAGGGGCCAGGTGACAAGGCGAATGCCATGTGACCCCCGTCCGGTTCTTCTCAGGATGGCTGACCACCCAGGCCACGACCCACTCCCCTCTCTGAACTGCAGTGACCGAGAACAGCACAGTCCACGCCGTGAGTCCCACAACCTACACATCCCAGAGGAAGGGTCAGTGCGTCACCCCTGCTGACACGGCTCCTGTCAAGTCTGTCCACTGAGTTATTACGGGGGGTGGGGGAGGGGACAAGGAGGAAGAGGGAAGTGTGGGGACTGGATGAAACCGGTCACCCTGCGCCATTATTCACGAGGACAGTTTGAACGGTTTTGGGAGGGGACAAGGAGGAAGAGGGAAGTATGGGGACTGGATGAAACAGGCAAGGACACTCCGGTCACTCTGCGCCATTATTCACGAGGACAGTTTGAACGGTTTTTGTGAGTGCTGCCCGTCGCAGACACTCTGTCTCACCACGTGCCTGGCGGAGTGGCATCGTCACAACAGGACAGGGATGTGGCAGTCTCCACAGGGCCTGTGCCGGGGCCCAGGTGGCACAGGTCGGTTGTGGTAGAGGGCAGGTGCCTTGGGTGACAGGGACAAGGATGGTGACCAAACCAGGTGACAGGTACAGAGCACACCCCGTGGGGACGCAGAGAACGCGGACACGGGAGTGGGGGGCTGTGGGGAGGCTGGGGTGTGGGGGCTCCTGGCGGCATTGGGGTCCTGCCTCCCGCTGGAGCGTTTCACAGGGTCCCCAGCCAACGCTGATCACGGGCGAACCCAGGGTCCAGGGCCGAATGGGGACATCCGGACACGTTTAAACCTTGAGGAAAGTGACCCATGGTGACAAAACACAGGGGTGAACGAGGGTGTCAGCCAGTCTACGGACGTCTACCACGTCAGTAAGTGGACGGAACTGAAACGCCTGCACGTCGGCCTCTGCGGGACCGGTCCCTGTCACCGAGGCCTGGCCCCGTCTGCCTCTGTCCCGGGCACCCGGCTCTCACATGGGACATTCCTGGAATTGTGAAATTGCCTTTGTGCCGTGTCGTAAACAAGAGTCTTCCACTCCGTAGCCAGTGGTGATCTTTGATGACCTTTTGCGAAATTGAGTTTTGTTTGCCTGCCCTGGTCCCACATAACTGGACTGCTTCACACACGGAGCCCACACGCCGAGGACGACGGTCGTGCTCCTGGAAATGCCACAGCCCCTTCTCCCTACAGTTCCTAAAGTCCTGTGCCCAGGGTCACCCCCGGGGGGACCGCTGTGCCGGAGATAGCACCCGCTTTCGGTTACAAACCCACCATGCTGAACTCTGACGCTCGCTGTCCCGGGACGCTCTGCTCCGAACAGACCCGGGAACCAAGGCAGTGGCGGTCGGCAGTGGCAGTGTGACCGAATGACCCCTGCACTGGGCTGAATGTGGGGGCGGGAGCCTGGGAGGCTGGACTGTGAGGGGCCCTGTGGGCGCTGGGTCCCCTGCCCCGGAGGGGAGCCATGTGGGGACGCCCCGCACTCGGGGGGCGCTGGTGCCTGGGTGACACCCACAGTGGACTGGACGCCAGCGTCTCCTCTGACGCTTTCAGAAGTGTCCTTTGCATTTCTGGGTGACAACAGAAAAGGCACGACGGGCCCCGCCAGCCGCCAGGACGTCTGGGCTGCCAGCCCCACTTTGGGGGACCTCCTGCCCCATTCACGCACCCAGCGCTCCCTAGGGGACCTCGATGACGGCGAGTGCCCTCAGAGCACGTGCCACGGAAGGCGGTCACCAGCCCAGCAGCACCTACCTGGGACGAGGACATGGCCACGTGGTAGAACTTGCCCTGGCCGCCCTGTGGGATGGCTCTGACGAAGAAGAAGGTCCGGCCGTCCTCGGAGAAAGCCGGCTCTTCATTCTGCAGGCGACAGAGACCGGTCAGTCCCCGGGAGGGCCCCGCCTCGTCTGCGGAGGCCAAACGGGGCTCAGGGCGCCCGCGGGCGTTTTCTGCATAATTGCTAATCAGAGACGCAGTGAGAAGGGTGACCGCGGAGCGGGCCTGTCCCTCCCCTGGGGCGCAGGGGTCAGCCTTCGGTTCCCCGGGAGATGAGCCTTCGGTTCCTCCAAGGCCACCAATGCAGCAGAGGCGGAGGCGCAGGCACGCCCGTTTACAGGAACAGCAGTGGACCTGTGTCACCCGCTCCAGATGGGACAGTGCTCGGCCCTCAGCCTGGTGCAGTGTGTCCCCTTCAGCTGTGGCCTGTCGAAACCAGAGTGTTTCGCAGAATTTCTCCAGGTGCATTTATTTTCTCTCACAAGGAGATAATTTTGAACGATCCCAAACCTGGCTTTGCCAAAAAATGAACGAATTCTATTCTTTCCACGCTGGCCCCGCTCTTTCAATTTATAAAACCCAGATCAGGCTGCAGAGCCCACCGAGGAGACAGGACGAGGGGTGGTCACCGAGGACACGTCGTGGGTGTCCCCAGGTGCTCGCTGTGCTGCCGCTTCACTTCCGACGAGAGCGTCCCACCCAGACGTGCTCGGTGACACGGGGGACACGTCTGCTTTGCCCTACCGTGACTTTTCCCTGAGAACAGGTCTTACCGTGCCGCCCATGTGCCACGCTCTGTGATTCACACGCGCCTCCCCTCCCGTCCCCGGCTATGACGTCATCGACACCTAGGCTTCTAGCTGACTCGTTCTTTTAAACATCGTGATGAAAGTCACGCAACACAAAATAAGACATTTTAACTAAAGTGAACAAATCGGCGGCATGGAGCACACTCAGTGTCGCATGGCCGTCATCTGCGTCTCGTCCCCAAACATTTCCGCCGCCCCAGATAAAGCCCTGCGCCCATTAAACTGCTCCCCGGCCTCCTTGGCCGCCCCCAGAGCGCTGACAACCAGCAAACGGCTTTGTTGCTGCGCAGTTGCGTGTCCTGGGTGTGTCACGCACGGGCACTGGGACGGCGGAGGTCCTTCGTGTCTGGCTGCGTCGACACAGCACAAGCTCACGCAGCGTAGTCACGACAGCCCAGAGGCGGGGACAACCCTGTGCCCACGACGGGGAAGCGGGCTGTGGTTCGGCCACACACCGGAATATTCTTCAGCCGTGAAACGGCTGTGACACACGCTCAGTGGACGAGCTGACATATTTTGTTGCTGTTCTCAAGGTCCGGCACGTGCCTGGGACAGTCCACGAATACTAGTCGAACAGACGGCTACGTAGACGATGGGTTTTTTCTCATCTCTTCGCTCCCTCTCTCTGGCATTTTGTCTGACACAAGAGGAACGTCGTGACGTTAGACGTCGGTGCTTGTACCTCTGTCCAGGCGGCAGCGAAGCACCTCCCCGCGTAATCCCAGCTCACACCTCGGGGCCCCCGAGCGCCCTCTCATCCTCGATATTTTCTCAGCTTGGACTTGGCACCCAAACTTGGGTATTAGAAAAGACTGGCAAGAAGCAGGGGGGAAAAATACATTTCAAAGCAACCACGTCCACATACGGGGCTCCCGCCCCTGCAATAACTGATGGGAAGCCGGGAGAGGGGGTGAGTCCTCAGATGAAAGAAACGCATGCCAGCCGGGGGTGCTAGGACGTCCTTGGGGAGCCACGGCTGATAGCCGCATCGTTCGGAGTCTGTTATTTCCGTGAGCACAGTCGATCGTATCACCAAGGAAGCGACCTGTGCCCTCCTTGCCGTGATGCTCGAGACTCACATCTGGTTTGATTTTTCCCATAGAACTTCGGACAGTTTTCGTCCCATTAGGTCGGACGAGGGATGAGAACAGAGGGCGGAAGAAGCCGCCGGCGTCTGCGGGCTTCCTCTCTGTGCCAGCTCAGCAGCCGTTATTGTCGCCTGGTCGTGGATGGGTCACTGTCACCCCCGCCCCCGCCAATCACACCTGGTCTCAGCGCCGAGAACCCAACGGGCCTTTCTTACCTGGGTTGGGGACGAGACGACTGGGGACGGTTTCATAGTCAGGGACCCAGGAAGACTCACGCTGAACCACAGTGGCGCCCCCCAGCCGAGACCCGGCGGGACCCCGCGGGACCCCGCAGAACCCCGCAGAACCCCGAGGGACCCCTCGGGACCCCGCAGAACCCCGAGGGACCCCACGGGACCCCGCAGAACCCCGAGGGACCCCACGGGACCCCGCAGAACCCCGAGGGACCCCACGGGACCCCGCAGAACCCCGAGGGACCCCACGGGACCCCGCAGAACCCCGAGGGACCCCACGGGACCCCGCAGAACCCCGAGGGACCCCACGGGACCCCGCAGAACCCCGAGGGACCCCACGGGACCCCGCAGAACCCCGAGGGACCCCACGGGACCCCGCAGAACCCCGAGGGACCCCACGGGACCCCGCAGAACCCCGAGGGACCCCACGGGACCCCGCAGAACCCCGAGGGACCCCACGGGACCCCGCAGAACCCCGAGGGACCCCACGGGACCCCGCAGAACCCCGAGGGACCCCACGGGACCCCGCAGAACCCCGAGGGACCCCACGGGACCCCGCAGAACCCCGAGGGACCCCACGGGACCCCGCAGAACCCCGAGGGACCCCACGGGACCCCGCAGAACCCCGAGGGACCCCACGGGACCCCGCAGAACCCCGAGGGACCCCACGGGACCCCGCAGAACCCCGAGGGACCCCACGGGACCCCGCAGAACCCCGAGGGACCCCACGGGACCCCGCAGAACCCCGAGGGACCCCACGGGACCCCGCAGAACCCCGAGGGACCCCACGGGACCCCGCAGAACCCCGAGGGACCCCACGGGACCCCGCAGAACCCCGAGGGACCCCACGGGACCCCGCAGAACCCCGAGGGACCCCACGGGACCCCGCAGAACCCCGAGGGACCCCACGGGACCCCGCAGAACCCCGAGGGACCCCACGGGACCCCGCAGAACCCCGAGGGACCCCACGGGACCCCGCAGAACCCCGAGGGACCCCACGGGACCCCGCAGAACCCTGAGGGACCCCGCAGAACCCCGCAGAACCCTGAGGGA